TGCTTTAATTGATCATTCTCATTCAACAGACCTGTTGGATATTTAGCAAGGAAATTGGATAGAGCTCTTGTAAATGCTGCTTGGCTCACTTCTTTCCCTTATTCAGATGTTCAGTTCTTGTTGCTAGGTATTTTATGATCATTGTGCAATTTTGATTACTTCGCAAGTACCAGCCCATTCACCTCCTAAGCCTTTTAAAATTTTTAATTTTTGGGTACATCATACTGATTTTCAAAGACTGGTTGAGAAAGTTTAGGCTGAACAAATCTCGGGTAATCCTTTACTTAGGTTGCTCAGAAAGCTAATGCTCTTTAAGCTTCAATTAAAGAAGCTTAATAGAGCTTCCTTAGTTCCTTTAGTCATATCTTAAAAGGGGTTCTTGAGAAAAAAATGGAGTTGCAGGATGTTCAATCTTCTGTTTTGGAAGGAGTTCAAGGTTCTGTTTTGCTAGACAAGGAAAGAACCCTAGCTTTAGAATACATTGCATTATCAGCAGCTAAATAATCTTTTTACAAGTAAAAATCCAGGATATAATGGCTCAATTTCGGAGACTGCAGCACTGATTATTTCCACAAAGTCACTACTGCTAGGAGAGCTTATAACACTACTAAATTCTTACATGGCTTTCAAGGGCAGAAGCTTTATTCTTTTGAGGATATTCAATGAGAGGCACTGCATTTCTACATTAGACTTTTGGGAGCACTGATCCTGCTGTGTGTGGTAGCACAGTTGAAGATCTCAAACAGTTGTTACATAAAAGCATAAGAGATGACCATAAGGGAATTTTAGAGGGTAATGTTACCCCTGACGAAATAAAGCCCACTCTTTTTGCTATGAAGAATGACAGAGCACCAGGACCTGGTGGTTATACTATCCATTTTTTTATAAGTAAATGGAGCATTCTGGGTGAAGATTTCATTCGGCCAGTCATGTGTTTTTTCAGAACTGGGAATGTGATTCAATCTACATATTCTACTACTATTACTCTTATTCCTAAAATTTCCAATCCTTCTCATTTGAGTGATTTTAGGCCTATCTCATATTGTAATATTGTTTACAAGTGCATCGCTAAAATCCTTGCCAACAGATTGAAGCAGTGTCTCTTCTCCTTTATTAGTGCTAACCAGAGTGCTTTTCTGAGGGTACAAGTACAGCTGACAATATTCTTCTTGCTTCAGAGCTGGTGAAGGGTACCATAGAAAGCGTGTCTCTTCGAGGATGACACTGAAAATTTACTTGAAAAGGGCCTTTAACTCTGTGAATTAAACTTTTCTTTTTAATACTTTGATTGCGAAAGATTTCCCTTCTAAATTCTTGATTGGCTTAAAGTTTGTCACTACAAAATTTTATGTTGTTTGTAATGGCAGATTGTTTGGTTACTTATCCGGCCAGAAAGGTGTCAGACAAGGAGACCCTCTCTCGTCACCTTTTTGTTATTGTCATGGATATTTTATCTTTTCTTTTGAATGGAGTAGTGAAGAAGAAATTGGGTTATCATCCTAACTGCAAACGGGTGGCTTTGACTCATTTATGTTTTGCTGATGACCTTATGGTTTTTACTAACGGAACCAAGGAGACTATCCTGGGTGTTTCTGCTATTTCGCAACCACTGTATACCATGTCTGGCCTTGAGCTAAATAGTGTTAAGTCTAATATTTTCTCAGCCAATGTGGATCTTCTTGTTCTTTCTGATAATCACCAGCATATATATTGGCTTTAAACTTGGTATCTTGCCTGTTAGGTACCTTTGTGCCACTGGTGCCTGGAAGCCTTAATGCAACGCTTTGTGATAATCTGATCCAGAAATTGGCCAAAAGGATTAATAGCTGGTCTTCCAAAAGTTTCTCTGATGATGGACTTCTACAATTAATCCAATTTGTACTTTTCAGCTTTCAAAATTTTTGGTGCTCTTTGTTCATTCTTTCTAGCAAAGTATCCAGAAAATTGATGATTTATATGCTCTGGTTTTTTTATATACGTAAGGGTCATGAAACCCTGGGAATTTAAATGTCCAATCCACAAATTCTCTTGTGCCAAGCTGTAGATGAGTTCAAAGATAATTTGTTTTTGTTTTTATTGTGTTTTTTCTAAGCAGCTTCGTTTATTACTAGATTTTGCACCAACTGGGATTCTGATCTTAGTTGCGCGATATCAACCTTCAATGGGAAAAATCTCGAAGCTGAGGTTATACGGACGGTAGTTGCTATCTTTTATGTTAGGCAAGAAAGGAATTCACGAAAATATTCAGCTCAAAAGAGGACTCCAAATGATATTTTTCAACTGATGTTGCTGCTGTGGGAGCTCGTTTTTCTTTTGTTATTTCGATTAATGCTGACACTGTGCAAAGCTTTTTTTTTTTTTTTAAAGAAATTGAACTATAAGCCAACAAAATTAATTTGTTTTAACTTAATCTCTCTTATTTCTGTACATAGCACATTGATATATGCTTTTTTTTTTTTTGGATTTTAAATAAAAAATAGCTACTATATTTAAAAGATATGACAATTTGTATTTTCACGTGATATTTCGTGTCGTGTTTAACACGTAATGATATGAATTATTAGAATATAAATACGATACGAATTATAAAACATATTTAAATATTAAATACGTATATGATATGTTTATTATATATATTATACGTTATAAGATATGATTAATATATTACAATTAATCCGTTTTAACATCACATGGATATGAATAACATATATATACACGAATAAATATGATCAATTCGAATAGACACAAATAGACATGATTAACATAAATATATATAAATAAGATTAAAATAATAAATAATTATAAATTATTCATCATTTACAACTTAATAAGTTTCATATATTAATAATATAAAAATACTTGCATATTAAAAGGAATAAAAAAATTTGATACTTATTTAATATGTAAATATATACAAATAAGATTAAAATAATAAATAATTATAAATTATTCATCATTTACAACTTAATAAGTTTCATATATTAATAATATAAAAATACTTGCATATTAAAAGGAATAAAAAAATTTGATACTTATTTAATATGTATTTAATATATAGATTTAAAATTTAATATGTATTACATAATTATATTAGTTTTTAGTATCAAATGATAAATTACTAAAGATTAAAGAATAAAATAATAATGTATAGGATTAATATTAATATTTATATTGTATTTATATTATTAATATAAAAAATAATTTTATAATAATTATTAAATAAGTATCATAATTAAATATTTAAAATAATCTTTATATGGCATTGAATCATAATTAAGTATTATAATTAAATATAAAAAAATTTAATTATTTTTATATTTTTATATTAAATTACAATAAATACAAAAATATATTAAACGTATTAAACATATTAAATATATAATCGTAAAACAAGATTAAATTAAACATCATGTTCTGTTACATGTTAAATATATATTCATATGATAAGTTTTATCTAAATATATTTTTTATATCTTACGTATATTTAAATGTATCAATATTATAAAATACCAATTATATCATATTAAAATTTATATTAATAAAAATAAATACAAAATATATATATTAATAAATATATAATTTTTTATATTATTTTTATATCACATCATTTCATATCATGTCTACGTTTTAGTTTGGAGTCATGGATCGAGTTTGACTTGTACTGCAGCTGTGTCCCCACTGGAAAGCTAGTAAATTGAAAGGGCACCATCGCTGGACTAGGCTACTTTGAATTTCGGAAGCATAATGGCAACGGCTATGTTTATTGATGCAGTTGGATGTTCCAACGAACCTCAAGGGCCATTTAATAAAAGACTTCAAATGGTATCATTTATATATGTTTAGGCTTTTAGGGCTTAGGTAACTTTTTTCCAAAAATTAGAAAAAAAAATTATACTCTATACACTATCCACAGAGATTTAAACTCATCCACAAACAAGACGAAATTGATGCGTGAAGATTATGTTAATTTACCAATTTCTTATTTATTATTAAATGTATACCGTATTTTTTATTATAATAAGAAAAAAAAGGCCAAAATGTGGTGGATAAGATTTTTTTTAAGAACTTAATAATTATATAGTTGAACCATAATTATTCCGAACCACCCAATGGCCATGTCAACTGACCTAATTCACCTGTTCCAGTGGATTCATATTTGTAACTTTTTTGGCCCCAAAGATAAAGACGTTCAGTTTCCAAATTCATTAAAATATTGGTGACCCTGATTTTTTTAGCTCGACTAGGCTGCATATGGGTTTTTCCAAAAAGATTTTTAAATCCTAACCAACTAAAATTTCATACTAATTAAGGATTGGTTTATTAATTTTTGGGTTTTTTTTTTTTTAAAAGAGTTAAAAGTAAAAACATATTAAAAGAATTTAAACGTCACAACTTTTTAAAAATTTAAATATAATATATATTTCTAATGATCATATAATAGATTGTTATTTATAAATTATTCAAAATAGTTATTTAGTATATATAATTTATAATTTTATTATAATATTTATAGTCATTAATTTTTTATACATAAAAGATGTAGCTTAAAAATAAAATTTAAAAATAAAAATAAATATAGATATAAAAATTTAAATTTCAAATTTATTAAATATCTTTTATTAAAATTAATTATATGAACTTCAAATTTACTTATAATCATTATTCTGATAACTGATAACTATGAAGTCAACTGTTGATCTTAATAACAATTCAGATTGAGTAGGGTTTTCTTCATTTAGTTTCATCCCATTTAAGTGACATCGCATCCAGGGAACAAATACATCAGCTATGAATGGGACCATGGGTTGCCCAAATCGTTAAGCAGGACGTTCGCGGGGGAATTAAGCTTTCCATTGCATAAGATAAATAATACAAATTAATTGTCAAGAGTCATATTCATTATTCAGTGGCTGGTACGTCAATTATATGATTTAATGAATGGATATGAAAGCTCACGATAAGGAAGTTGAGAATTTTATTTCCAAAGCATGAATCCTTGAATAGGATTCTGATCTCTCTTTCTAGCTAGCACTCAATTTATATATATCACCGTAGACTGTTCCTACACTAGAACTTTTCCTTTCTCCCATTACTCACATTGCAATTTGCATGATAGTTTACATATAGCTGGGCATAAATTTAGAGAATTTGATTCAACTTGATAAGGATGGAATTGGGCATCCAGAAAATCGAAGCCATCCTTAGGCTTTGTGCAGTATTGATATTGGTTTTGACGGTTTGTTTAGTTGCCTTCGACTCTCAAACGAAGGTCATCTTCTATATAGAAAAGAAAGCTTCCTTCAAGAATTTGCGTGCTCTTGTGTAAGATTTATCATTTATCCATCCATTTATCTATGTGTTACTAGTAGACTTTCGCAAATACGAGCATGTAAAAAAAAAAAATATTCATTCGGATCAATTATGCGATTGATCAACTTTTAATTGATTCTTAATTTTGACAGAGGGTTGGTGTATATCACTTCTTTGGCTGCTGCTTATAACCTACTCCAACTAAGCTGTTATTCATTCTCAGCCTGCTGCAAAGGAATCTCAGTGCAATCTTACACATATCTAGCTTGGCTTCGTTATGTTTTGGATCAGGTATTTACCCATACACTTATATATTACGATTCTAAGCTTCCGGTACTCACCTTATATTAGTTATGCAAAATGAAAACTATACAATAGGATTTGAACCTCAACTCCTAAACCTCTGATGAAGGGGCAACAACCATGCATTAAACTTTAGTTCTTTATGAATTACAATATCAACTTAATTTATATCAAATAAATTGATGCTTTCCAGCTTCCCCAAGGGCAAAAAAACACGATCATATGAAAATAAGAATTAGAGTGTTATTAGGACTACAATCGGTTCTTTTTTCTTTTTTCTTGTTATTTTAAATTTAGAGGCAAGATTTGAAGCGGATGCTTTGAGCAAGATAGATATAACCAACCTAGCAAATGCTTGGATGCATTTATCTTTTCTTTGTTGAAATTAACCGTATTCTAAAGCTTTTGATCAATCACATGTATGGCGTGTTATTGCATTGAATTCCATTAATGGTACTTTAAATCACAACCACATATGTTGGTTCATTCGACATAGAAAGAATAGAGACAAAATTTATATGAAGCTCCATAGGTGAAGTTTTTGAATTTTTTTATTAAAAATGAGTAAATAAAATTTTTAATAAAAAAATTTAAATTAATAGATTGATGAAATTTAATATGAAAATTAATAATATATAAAAATTATTAAAAATATTATTTATAATTTAAATTTGATCGAAACTTATTTAACAGTAAAATTTTGTTAATATTTTTGCTAAAAATATCTATTTAATAAATATATGAAAATTTTTTAAATATATTACCCATAATCTATTTTTACTTGACCTTGGGCCAATGCATCTTTTAATCAGAATTACGATCATTATTATTTATTTTTATTGATATCAATCCTTAGTTAGCATTTGTAATTTTTTGAAATTTTGATCAATCTTAATATATTCCCATATTTTTAGTTGCAGTCACTGCTATCACCTTAGTTTTTTAGTTTGAACCTGTTCGCCCAATTTTTAACATCTATTAACTCGAATCTGTCCCCACTTGCATCTCACTTATAATTTATTTTTATTATAATTTAATAATTATTTAATTATAATAAAAAATTATTTATGAATTTAGCATTTGTAATTTAAAATTCATATGAAAATTTGATAGATTCATATAATTTTAAATTATGATTTAAAATATATATTATAATGACTGTAAATAATATACTCCTATTTAGTAGAAAAGATTAAAAAGTTGATTAAATATTATTTTTGTCATCCCATTTTTTGATGGAGTGGAAAAATAAAATGAAAGAAATAAAAATTATATTATTTTACCATTATACTTTTTGTATATGATGAAAAAGATTTATCTAAATATAATGAATAAATATATAACACTTACTCACACTTCTCCTATTTTTTCTCCCCTTATCTTTCTAAATTGAATTTTTTTTTTGTAAATAAGGGAAAAAGTATAATTTTTTTCTTTCATTTTTATCTTCTACCAAATACACCTAAAAATATTTTTCCCCACTTTTTCACTATCTCTTATTTGTCTTTTCGCATTTCAAATCTACTAAACACACGTGAATGAATATTCACATCTAATTTTCATCGCCTTATCCATACATTATTAAATGCGTAAAATCTTCCTTCCTTTTGAAAGAGTTAGCATATTCCATGGAACTCGTTCCATCTATTAATGTGTAGATATAATAAAGTAATCTCGTGGATAATAACTTCATGTGAATGGATAATGGGCTTATGGTGTGTCATGTACATGTATAAAGGCATAACAAGATTATCTTGAAGGGCCAATAGACGGGATAGTGACATAATTATCGATATCTAATTTAAAATTAATTGTTAATAAACGAAGAAATCCTATATTTACATGTCCAAATAGCCTAAATTTAATAGAAGTAGAATATATTATGTTGTGAAGATTTACATTCAACTCAAGCATCACGTGGTTTAGGCCCAAAAAGTTGTTGGGTCGGTTACGACATTTCATTGGTATAAGTATGCAGCACCTTTGTGTGGGCTCTTATTTACACCGATGAGCTCTCGGTCTTATGAAATGGGCTTCGATTGCAATGGTGATTGCAATTATGATGCGCGGCTTTGGTTGATTTTAGTAGGTGGGATTGTGACTTTGTGAGGGATGGGAATGGGTTGAGTCGGTTTTGTTCGTCCCTACTTAAAAATTATACTTGATTTTGATTTGAGTCGATATTTGATTATTACTTTTTATATTTAATTTTAATTTGATATATATATATATATATGCATAATTTCTGTCATTCAGTTCAAAATTAATTAATAATTTTAATTTAATATTATATTAATAAAATATTATTTTTTAAAATAAATTTCATAAAATTATATATAAATATAATATTTTTATTAAATTAATACTTTAAATTAAAATATTAAATTTTAATAATATATAAAATTAAATAAATAATAAATAATATTATATATATGTATATTTCTAGAACGAGTCTACTTTAAAATGCACCTTCAACCTAACTCTGATTTTTTAAAAATATTTTATCTCCTTTCAGACTTGATCTTTGATTTAAAAAAATGTCTTTATCAAATCAAGATAAATCAAAATATATGAAATACTTGTTGTTTTGTCATCTCGAAACCTAATCTCACATATGAACTTAAAATTTTGAAGAAGCGGTGCGATTTAAGCCAAAAATTGTTGGACTTGTATTGCCAGCATGAACTCCAATCATTAGACTACTGGCAAGCACAATAGGTTAGATGCTTATCCATTTATTATATATATACATGATTTTAATAAAAAAAAATATAATAATTTAAAACATGATATCGTAATACGATATGAAAATGATATAAATAAAAAATATAAAAATAACATAACTTAAAATTTTAAAAAATCATAAATAAGTTTAATAAAATAAAAAAATTATACTTTATATTTTTTTATCGATACGAACTATGATATGTAATTTTCGTATAAAATATAATATAAATATAATATTTTATATGACATGATGATGCAAGTTATTAAATTTAAAAAGAATATAAGCTTAAAGATTTAAAAAGAATATAAGATTAATTTAATTAAAATTATTAAATAATATTAGCTTAATACCCTAAGTTGTTAAAAATTATTTAAAATTTTTAACACTTCTTTATAGAAAATAACAAAATATTCCTTTGAATTGTTTCAAAAAAATATTAAATGCATTAAAAAATTAAACCATTAAAAATTTTTAGTAGTTTATCGAGCACACCCTTGTGGGAACTCAAATAATTTAATATAAAAAAAATGTCCTCTGTAACTTTTGACTAAAAATATTTAATATGAAATTTAAATTAAAAACATCTAATTATCAAGTATCTCAACTTCCAATTCATTTATTAATCTACCATATGATCTAACATCATTAATAGAAATTGATGACGTGACAGTCAATTAATAAAAATTTAACATGTTTGTAAATATTATAAATGTGAATAATATGTGATTATCATGTGATAATAATGTAATTGTTATGATTAATATATTTAAAAAAAAAATGAAAATGAAAATTTTAAAAATTTTATAATTTATTTAAAATTTATTTTTAATTAAAATTTGATTTTTTAAAATCAAAATATAAAAAGAAAAACCTAAAAGAGAGAGAGAGAAGGGAACTGGAGGGAGGAAGGACTAGAAAAGGGAAAAGGGGGGGACTGGTATCAATCAGTATACTTGGGGCGGGTTGGCATTGGTCTAGCTTGTTTCTAGCTAGACAAGTGCCAATCTTCTCGGTCCAAGGTAGATCGGGCCTGTTCTGTTTCGGGATGACTGACGGATGTCCATCAGTACTGCCCCTTCGTTTTCCTTCTCTCTCCGTGATTCCCTTCTTTATTTCTTTTTATTTTATTTTATTTTATTTGTAAAAGGTTTAAAATTGATTTTTTTTAAATTAGCTTTTTATTTTTATGTTGGAATTCTTCAAACAATGTTTAAATTTTTTATTTTAATTCTTGAAAGTTTTAATTTTATATTTTTTAAAATTTTATTATATATGATAATCATGGGAGTGTCATGTGATAGTTATGTGTAAAATTTTTATTAATTAACTATCACATAAGCATTTTTTATTAATCATATTAAGGGCTAAGGTTACCTAAGAGGTTGATTCAATGTTTAGATATTTGATTAGATATATTTTTTAATTAAGATATCATATTAAACATTTTTTAACAGTTTAAGAGTTGCAGAGAATATTATTATTCCTTAATATATTCTTTTTTTGGGGATGATAATAGATATCTGGTACCATCCAACTTGTTAAATAGAATTACGATATAAATAAATGAATTCGGGTATGATACAAGTGGTAGTGATAGCATACTTGTTACCAAACCAACAAAGAACTAAACTCAACTAACTTCAGATAACACCATTTAATAACAATCATGTGTACTACATGATTAGTTTGATATGATTTTATGTTTTAATTAATGATTAAAGAAGTATTTTTCCCAGCAACGCTGCTCATATCATTTCTCTTTCGAATTGCTTTACTAGGCAGCAGTTTACGTAGTGTTTGCTGGAAACTTGGCGGCTTTTGAGCATGCACTTTTGGTTGTAACTGGAGAAGAGAACTTCCAATGGCTGAAGTGGTGCAATAAATATACTAGATTCTGCTTCCAAATCGGAGGTTCGCTGCTCTGCGGTTGTGTAGCAAGTCTCATAATGTTTTTCATCGCTTCCATTTCCGCATTCAACTTGTTCAGGCTTTATTCCCCCAAGAAGTTCCTGCTCTTGAAGGCCAAATGTTAAGCTAAATATTTTGGCCCTGATATTTAATGATATTCAATGCCACTTTGAATTGAATATTATTATTTATGAAAGAAAAAAGTACCGACATAAAAGGACGAAGAAAGAAGAAGAAGAAGAAGAAGAAGAAGAAGAAACACTTTTTATTAATTAATTTTCTATGTTTATCTTGTTGTTTAATAATTATTATCAATGATTTGCAAAACTAAGTTGAAGTTTAAACTTTGAAAAATTATATGATATATTGTCAATGGAGTTTTTTTTTTTTTTTTTTTTTTTTTTAATTTTACAAGTAGCTTAAGAAATTGACACAATTACTTCTATTTTTTATTAGTTTTTAAATAATATTTTTAATATATTTTAAGGTAATATTTGGTATGAGATGATTACTCAAAAAATTATAGTGATCTACACATAATTATTACATTATTGTATTTGGTAACTATTTAGTGATCATATATGATAGTGATCTTGAATCAGAAGTGATTAGAGCACTGTCTTTAACGATGATTTAATTTCCATCCAAAGGGGTAGAAACATTTATCATTAGGCTGTAAAATTTATAATAGTCAATATTATTCATTTAACATGTGAATTAATTTTTTTTAAAATTAATTTTAATTACTTTAAATTATAATTTTTATATTTTCAAACTAATATTCATTGTAATAAGTTCAAAAATATTTTGTGTGACTTTTTCAGTTTTTAAAAAATTTACTTATAATATATTCTTTTGATTTTAATATATTAGTTTTATTTTCTAATTCAAATATTTTTTTTTACATAATTTATACTATAAAAACTAGTTTCCTATCAATAAATATATGTTTAATTTAATAATTTAATTATATTTATTATGAAGTAAATAAAATATTACTAATATTTTATATATAAATTATTATATTTAAATAACATTGAAATTATTAACTTGTATAACTATTATAATGTGCATAGTTATTTTGATACTTTCAAACGAAATAATATTTGATTTTTAATGCCAAACACAATGATATTTAATTACTAAGAATTAATAATTCTTAGCCAAACAAAGTGATTCTAGATCATAAGTGATAAAATCACCTTAGCGTCATAATATATGTCTGGAGACTCAATTGCTAGATATAAATATTTTCAAAATCGAAAAAAATAAGGAGTTGTCACTAATTTTTTTAAAATGTAATTAATTACCTAAAAAGTTTACCTTTTTAATAAAATGAAAAAACAAAAGAATTTAAGGTTTATGAAAAAGATATTTTTGAGTCTTTGAAAACAAAATTGGAATCGAGAGTTTGGTTATGCGTGTAGAAAGATTAGCATACCAACAACGCTTGTTCAAAAGCGGTATTAATTAATTATGTATTATCTTTGATTTTGGATAAAAATAATTTTAATTTAAAATTTAAAAATAATTTTATTTACTTATAAAAAGAAAAAAATAATTTTATTAAAAATCTTTATTTAAGAATATCAAGAAAATCTTTGGATTAAAGAATTACCTTAAAATTTTCTAACGTCCAAGCATAATTTACAAATAACACTTTTCGCCTAAGATTTATCACAACATTTTTTAAAAATGAAAATAACATTTTTTTGTAGATGATAATTGTTTGTGACTCTCCAACATTTAGGTAGAGTACCAAAAATTATTTTTCTCATAGTGTTATTTTTGCTTTTTTTTTAAATTCTATATTTTAAATAATGTATTAAAAAAAACTTTTTTATGCAAAAAAACCATTGATGCTACAATTAGTTAGCAAATAATAATTAAAATGCATAAACATGCGAAATGAGTGCAAATAATAATAAATAGATGCCAATGGATGCTATGTATGATGATGAGATAGAATTTTGAAATCGAGTCATTAAATATAATGAGACCACCTAAAATCCCCAACCTCTACGTAAAGTTTAGGTGCGACTTTTTGTATTTAAGATTTTTTTTTAATTTCTATTCTTTATTTAATCTCATTATTTAGGGTTAAGAAATCGTACGAAAAGCTAACGAAATAAAATTTTCTAAATATCCCATCCTATAGTTGGCATTCGAGAATAGACTATTTCATATGATTTTTCTATGAATCCTTAGAATTTAGTGATGGTTTTGGGAGTAGCATAGTCCATGGTTTTTAAGGTGTCGTTTTATGGTTTTATGGTTTTAAAAGAAAGGGTTTTAGGGTTTCAAGGTTTCAAGATTTTGGGGCTTGGTTTTAGGGTTTCAAAATTTTAAGGTTTTAAAGTTTTAGGGTTTTAGGGTTTTTTCTAGTTTCAAGGGATTTTTTTTTATCCTTGAGAAAAATGAAAATTGTCAATAACTTAGACTTCTTCAATCATTCCCAATATCTAGGCTAACTTTCAAAACAAGTTCAGTTTTTATAATTCTCTTTTTTCCCTAACAGTTTTATATTAATGCAACATGAAACAAATAAACTATGCGAATGAAAACTAAAAATTAGAACAACCAATTTAATCAATTTTATGTATATTTTATTCCTATTTACTTATTACCATTCCCTTTCTAGAAATTAAAAGTAAATAAATTTCATTTGTTATTTAATTTAATTGTGAAAATTTTTACTTTATATTTTAAATTTTAACTTAATTTAACTAAACTTACTTTTTTTTTTAATTTTTGATTCTTTAATTCTCTAATATCTAGACGGAATTAATTTTTTAAAACACAATTTTGAATTCCTTTTAACATCTAGACAGGGTCTCCAAAATCATTTTTTAAAAATATTGTTTTATATTTTTATTTTCAAAACAATAATGATAACTATTCCATTACCAAAAATTATAAAAATATAACATTAACACAAACATTCACAACTTTTAAATCCTAAACATGCATTTCTTTATGATTCAGCAATATGCATGTAAAAATGTACAAACATAATTAAAAATTTTAAAAAAAGAAATTTTTACCCAACAAACCTTTCATATTATAGCCCAAAATATAAGTTATTAAGCCCAAATAAGTGGTGGGTTTGGGTAGCCTTTGGTTGATTGGGTATGTGGGTCGAATGGGTCATAAGTCGAGCTTAATGCTAGGTGCAAATTAGGTAGATTCGTCTAGTAACTTGCTTTTTTTTTTTTTAGCTTTACTACAAGATGCCATTTTTTTTACTCATTTCATCATTTCTTCTCTACAAAAAAAAAAAAAATCTTTTCCAAAGTATCCCAAAAAACATAACAGTCAATGCTTTATCATAAATCTAGATTTCAATGAAAATCAAGCATCATCGCCGTGCTTTTCTCTGCCATCATCATCATTTGACCCTTTTTCACTACTAAAATTTCACCTAAACTTCTTTTTAGCCTCTTTTTCATAGATCCAACCTTAGATTTGTCCTAAAATCCCTATAAACTGATAGATCTAAGGTTAAAGCCCAAACTTTCAAATTGTTATAATTCTTCCCTCCATCATCTGATCTGTTTCAAACTAAAATATGACGTTTTCTTTTTTTTTTCTTTCGTTTCTTCACTATTGTCAATCAATCGAAGGCTCGCACCATCATTCACTACCACCATAAGTCATACACCACTTACAGCCCAAAAACCATCTCTTTCTCGCTCTACAAATGTTGATGCACCTCTATTTGGGGTTAGGTTTGAGTACTTTTTGGTTAGGGTGCTTGTTGCTGCTAGTGGTTCAGGTGGTGGCTACATGAAAGTGGAAAGGCTATGGTGGTGGAAAAATGATGAGGTATGGATGGTTAAAGAGGTTATCTGTTATTGTGTTATAGAAGCTTGGAGTTTGGGTGCTTTTAATTTTGTTATATTTTTTGGTTGAAAACGTGAATACCTAATTATTTTTTTTTTGTCAATTTTCTCTATTTTATGCTTGGTGATTGAGAGGCAACTTAGGAAATGGTAATGATAGGAAGTTGGGGGATGTGTTCATTAGGGGCTAGGATTTTTTACTTATTTTATGGTTCATCGATAGAGGCTTCTTCTGATTTTTTGTGCCCTTTGTGAATTTTCTCTTCTATCCCAATACCTTTCAAAATTGCTATGGTTTTCTCTTATGAAACCCAATTTTTCCACCAAAATTGAACGGCCTTATAATGATTTCTTGGATGGGTATGGCAAAAGTGCAACAATGGTTGTTGATGTTTTTGGGACCATGAATCTTCTACCTTTTAGGATGTTGACTTTTTGATAAATGTATGCTAAAGGTAAGTAGGTAAACTGGGGTTAAAAATTAGAAAACTAAAAATGGTGAATGATAAAGTTGGAAGAAGAGGAAGTCAATGAATTTGTGCTAAAGTCAGTAGGTAAAGCATAAGGTGAAAATTGAAAAGTTGAAAATAATGCAACAATTTGGAGTTAATACGTCTGGAAGGAGAAAAAAAATGGTTGATGACCTTGGTGAGCCAAAGTACTAGTTTTTTTTTTTTAAATTTTAAGGTAGCTTAATCAGTCTTTAATAAAAATAACTTAGGCTTAATACTTGAATCTGGGCATTTATTTGGCTTTGAAACCTTAAGCCCAATTCTGTTAATTATAATTCAAAATTGCTTTCAAGCCTATAAAAAATAAATCCCTAAAGAAAATTGGCCCTAAGTCAAAGCCCATCAAAACCCAATATGAAAGAAGTATGATTAAAATGTCAAAATGGGCTCAAATTAGAACGTGTAATTGAGCTTAAAAATCAATCAAAATTCACTTATCTCAAACAAATTAGATGTCTAGAGCTATCTCTCTTTGCATATTTTTTAGAATGAGTAGGGCAAAGACATGACAACAATTTTGTCTGGTGTCAACAATTCGAGGATTTTTCAAAATTTTATTTTTGAATTTTTGAATTTTTTGGAATTTTCTAAACTTTGTTTTTCTTTTTTGTTTTTTTTAGAAAGGTTTTCAAAGCTAGAAGTGATCTTGACTAAATCACAAATTGAGAAATAAAATGACTGAGACTAAACCACAAGTTAAAAAATAATAATGTCAGGACTGAATCATAAGTCAGAGAATAAAGATAATCGAAATTAAATTATAGTCGAGAAATAAAGATGATCAGGACTAAATCGCAATCAAGAAATAAAGATGACTGGGATTGAGTCATCAATCGACAAATAAGAATAACTAGGACTAAGTCACAAGTCAAGA